CATCCACTTAATCTAATTCAACCCGCAGACAGCACATTTTTCTAGAACAGCAGGACCTCATAGCAGCTCACAAGGGTGTTGCTACAAGAAACAGTTAATGGTGTGAAAAGGAAGTACATCTTTTGCCTACCAAACAAATCGAAAATTGTACACATCTTTGAAAGAAAATTCACCAACAAAAAATAAAATACAATAAAGAGAATTCCCTGCCAAATTGCCCCAGAAAATACCCTATTCGAAATCAACCTCAACTTAACACGTGTCAGTTTCTCGCACCAAATCTTTATCCTTCAACTGTTGAGAGTGTGAAGTATAAATTCAACGTGTAACTTGCATTTCTCAGCAGCTGCTAAATTTGCACTGGTCCTTCAGGTTTTGTTTCTTGAATTAGGCTTCGAGAATGGAAATTCTTCGTCGCCGCTTACTATTTTTATGGATCGCGACGATTTTTTTGTTACAAAAATCGAGCAATGTCGAAGGAAGGCATCACGTAACCAAGAAACACAATAACAGAAATGCAAGTAGAAGGTCCCCTGCTTATGCTCCGAGCCCTAAAGGCCCTATTTCTCGATCTCCTAACTATCCTCCCTCGGTTCCTTCGGACCCGAATGATCCCACAAATTCGTGCAGAAACTGCATTTTCGACGTGACATCTCACGGGGCAGTGGGGGATGGTGCGACGGATGACACTGCTGCATTCTCGGCCGCTTGGAAGGCGGCCTGTCAAGTGGAATCAGGCATCGTTTTGGCCCCGGCAGACCATGCTTTCATGATCACTTCGACGATTTTCTCCGGTCCTTGCAAGCCAGGACTTGTTTTTCAAGTAAAAATAAAAAATTTTCTCCCTTTCTTCACAATCTAAATCATGAATTCATTCTAGCATTCTTCTCTTCGTTTGCTAATGATTTCGAGCTTTGAATGCGTAAAGGTGGACGGAGTCTTAATGCCGCCAAATGGCCCGGATAACTGGCCAAAATCCGATAGTAACAAGCAATGGCTAGTGTTTTATCGACTCGATCACATGACTTTTACTGGTACTGGAACCATTGAAGGTAACGGCAAAGACTGGTGGGAACTCCCTTGCAAACCTCACAGGGTATAATCTTTAATCTAATTAGCATTAAAGAATATTTCTCTTCGTTCTGTCTTATGGCAAAATATTGATGTGAAAATGTTATTTTCAGGGTCCTAATGGATCAACATTGCGTGGACCATGTAACAGCCCTGCGGTGTGTAAAATCGTCCAATCCCGACCGATTTTTTTCCCGATAAACAAGTTTTCGAGTAATGAATACTTATATACCTGATCGCAATTTTTCCACAGCTTATTCGTTTCTTTATGAGCTCGAATTTGGTCGTCTCTGGGTTGCGTATCCAAAACAGTCCTCAGTTCCACATGAAATTCGATGGCTGCGAAAGAGTACTCATTGATAAACTGTTGATATCTTCGCCAAAGCTGAGCCCTAACACAGACGGAATTCACATCGAAAACACAAAGGCTGTGGGAATATACAACTCAGTGATAGGCAATGGTAACAAATATCCGCACAACTTTTGGTCTTTATTTTGAAAAAATTATGTTTTTGAATAGTGATTTTTGGAGAATGTA